AGTCTGGGTGATGGGCTGAGGGCTGTTTTCCGGAAGCGGATGACTGAAGCTCCCAACCGCTCCTTGTTTTCTTTCTTTTTTTTTTTTTAATCCTTGGCCAGCTTTAGCTCTGAGGCCTCGCTGCTGAAAACATCGATACAATTTTGCGGTCCGGCTGGCTTTCAGTCCGGCTGGTTCTGGGGTTTTGTTTAGCTTCTTATTTGCAACATAGTACATAGTTGCTTAGAGTTACAGCTGAGAGGCCGGCAAGTTAGGCGGGGAACGTTGGAGTCCACAGTCACTGGAGCAATCAAGCCTCCCTGCTCGCTTCAGTGCATGGCTGCCAGCCGCCATCTTGGTTGTCAGTTAATTTGCATATACTCACTGATTAGCCAATGAAAAGGGTAGCGGTCGTACGCTAATTACCATGTTTCTCTTTTATTAGTGTAGATATGCATAGCCCATGGACACAGACAATAGTGTGGTGAAGGCCTGGGGTGGGGCAAAGAGGAAAAAGTGGAAGACATGTGTAATACCCTGAACAATTAAATTCTTTTAAAAAGGACTAAAATTAAAAAGACCTACAATACCAGAAGTTTATAAGGATGTGGGGTGACTGAAACTATCATGCATTGCTGGTGAGAATGTAAAATGGTACAACCAGCTTGGAGAAGAGAAGAGTTCAGCAGTTTCTTATAAAGTTTATAAGAAAAACCATGTGACACAGCAATTCCATTTGTAGGTTTTTACTCAAGAGAAATGAAAAAGTATGTCCCCAAAATACTTGGTCACAAATGTTCTTCGCTATTTCATTTAACGCATTGTATGCGGGAAACGTATTTATACGTTTTACGTTGACTGTAAGTAGTAGAGCCACCTGTTAGTGCGCGATAAAAACTACCCGCAAACAATGTGTTAAAACAGCTCCAAACTGGAAACCATGTAATGTCCATAAACAAACCATGATATATCCCTATAATGGAAAACTATCTGTGTCAAAGTTCAAATTGGTCTTCATGTGAATTTAACTACCACTTATAACATTCAAATTTAACTACCACTTATAACATTGCTCCAAACAAAACTTTTATTGTGACCCTCCACTTTTCCTTCAAAGCCAACCTAAGAAATCTAATTCCGTAACAGCCAGGCTGAACAGCAGGTATTTCCAGACACCGTCAGATGCTCTAAACCAGCAGTCGCTAACCAGTGGTCCGCAGACCACTGCTGGTCCGTGAGGTCCGAAAGGTTGGCGACCGCTGCTCTAAACCACAATCCCAAGCACATTCTCTTTAGCCAACTGAGACATGTTTCCAAACTTGCAGGCTCAACCACATTCTATCTAGATGGAAAACACCAGCCCAGCTGGTGTGGCTCAGTGGCTGAACATCAAACCAACCAGGAGGTTGCTGGTTCAATTCCCGGTCAGGGCACATGCCCGATTTGTGGGTTCAATCCCTGGTAGGGGGCATCCAGGAGATAGCTGATCAATGTTTCTCCCTTGTGGATGTTTCTATCTCTCCTTCTCTCTGAAATCAATAGGCAGGAAACACCCAAGAGCAAATGGGCTCTCCCTGTTCTTGAAGTAACACAAACACAAGCACCTTACTTAACAGCTGACCCTCACCTCTAGGGAGATGTGTTTCCTCATCCCCACCTGGATCTCTCTGGCTCAAAGAAGGCCAGACATCCTAGCCATTCTTTCCTTCCCCTCCTCATTACCACTTCTGAAGACTCTTGACTCTGAGGCCCTGATCACATCTGCTATCTTCCTAGCTTTCTTTCAATCCTGCTGCTATCCAGACGACTGATTAATAACCAAGCTTTTTTCCTTTAAATACTACAGAAGCTAATGAATCAACTTGTACTTATTTTTCAAATGTGTTATGCACAAGATTGGAATTTACTTTTTTTGCATGGAAAAAATATTTTTAAATGTTAGTTAAATTTTAGTACCTGTTTCAGAAAAGAGTCCAGAGCTGAATGTGCAGCTTTTTTCAATTCTACGTTTGTGTGGCTGCACCATTTTGACATGACTTCAAATAAAGAAACGTAGTTGTCCAGAAGGCAGGTGCTAAATTGAGATGCGTGCAGGGTAAATAAGTATAAGCCAGCTGCAAATGCAAATATCATTGTATTTAAAATAGGACCACAAAATGCACAACAAGGAACCAAGAAGGCTTCAGTACATGTCAAAATTAAAACTACTCATGAAGACCCGGTATCATTGCACTATAATGCCCTAAGGTCCTGATCAGAGTTCAAATGCCGCTATCCTCCACTTGAATCAACAGGTCCATGATTTCGCCAATTACCCCCAAAGCTCAGAAGTAGGAGCAAACCATCTGTATGCCCTAAATTATGCTCTAATTTTTTTAAATCATGTAATCTAGGTGTGACCATGTCAACCAAAATGTGTACTAAACACAAAGTCCCCCAAAACCTCCCCTCCTTCTCCTGTCCTAACCTACTTTACCTTCTCCTTCTCTGCCCTCCCCTCTTCTCTCCTCTCCTCTCTTTTCCCTTAGACCCGTGGTCGGCAAACCGCGGCTCGCAAGCCACATGCGGCTCTTTGGCCCCTCCACAACGTTCCCTAAAATTAACTTAATAAACTTTACTTAAAGTTTTAAGTAAAGTTTAAGTAAAGTTCGTGCGCACCCGAACGTGGTATTTTGTGGAAGAACCACACTCAAGGGGCCAAAGAGCTGCATGTGGCTCGCGAGCCGCGGTTTGCCGACCTCTGCCTTAGACCAACTGCTTATGGCATGTCAGCCTCAGGCTCAGGGCATGAATCAGCCCTAGAGCTACATTTACTTTCATTTGTAGTTTAAGTAAAAGTTTACTAAAGACATTAATTTAATAACAAATTATTCTACTTCATTAAATATAGAATCTTACCTAAGGGCACTGCATATCTCTTCAGATCAATCTATTTAAAAAAAAAATTACCATCAATGTTTGACAATCACAAGTCTCAACTGTAAAAGAATTCAAATAATATTAATTCACCTGAGGATGAATTGCCTTTAATGCAAAATCAAAAATCTCCCTTGAAGTCTGGGGATCTGGGGAAAGAAAAGAAGCTCTGTTATAAATCATAACATTATCATCTGACAAACCTCACAAATGACTTTACAAGTAACAACTTTATTTCAGACAGCTTGACATCTATATTAACCCCAACAGTCTCTTGTAAATTCAGGAATAACAACTTCTATCATTAAATTCAACTAGAGAGCTGCAAGTTATTATTACTGCTGCACAATTATTATTTCAGTAAAGTAAGAAGAAAACCTGGAATAATAAAGACATAAGTTTATATTTCAACTTACTTACAAACTGTTAGATAATCTCTGAGCCTCAGTGTTCTTATCTGTAAAAGGGGGCACTATATATTTTATTTTAGAGATGTTTGGAGAATTAAAGAGGGTCAAACACATTATTATTTCCCCAATATGCCCAAGCATTTATTCTACACATAGTAAAAGCCAACTAATTATGGGAATTACAATAATGAAAATATGATCTTTGACCTTAGTAAACATATTATCTAAAAGGGGAGATAAAACAGGCAACCAATTATACTCTGAGGCTCTAATCCTGGCCTGATTGACATCTCAGTTATTTGTATAACTGTCTCCCAAGAGGAGTCACTGCAGCTGTGCAGAAATCATGCTTTATTCATCACTGAGTTCTCTGCTCCTGTAACAGTGAATTGCAAACAGCAAAGGTTCAAGAATTGTGTGCTTTGATTGCCAGGATTGATATATTTGAAAACACAGCCCAGATGTGATAGAGGGTGAAGGGGTCAGAGAGAAACACTGGCATGTTTGGAGGATAACGCCATGAAAGACATACAAAAAAAAAGCTACTTTGGCATACAAAACAAGGAAAGATTTCTTCCGGCAGTGAGCATTCAAGACAGGCTTTATAGGCAAGGTAAGCACCTGAGCTGGACCTAAAAGAATAGGTACACCAGTTGGGAAAAAGGTCATTCAATAGAAAGTGACAGTGTACACAGAAGTGTGCAGACACAGGGCACCAGGCACTTTTGGTCTATAATGAGTGAGCTTTGTGAACATAGTGGAGCCCAGGGATTCAAGGGCCTGAGTGCTCAGCAGTGGGAATGAACGCCTTCTCAGCCTCCATGCCTTCTCCCAGGCTTTGCTTCCCCTGTCCACTCTCCTGTGCCCATCTCTCCTTCCCATGGACTGCTTCCTCTACAAGCATACTCAACTGAAGCGGCCCTTGTTGAGCTGCCACTCTGGTTTCTTTGCATTCAGACACCTCCCAGAGTAAGGCAGTACCACACTCCCTCGTCCAGATTCTCCTTATATCCTTGCCTTAGTCTCTCTGCTCTTGCTCTCTAGCTAATCTTGCTCACACTCATAGCTTTACATATTATCTCTACATTGAAGACTTCCTAATTTGTACCTTGAAGTCTAATTTGTCTTGCAAGATCCGGTTTTACACATGCAACTGCACAGTAAACATCTAAGCTTGGATGTTCTATAGGTTCAGGTTTTTGCCTGAAATCTTGTCCTTTCCCATCCCACCCAGCTTAAAAACCAGATTCAGGCAGTCCCTCTTAAAAGGCAGGCAAACTAATTTACATGGTCCTGCTCCCTTTGAGCTCTAGCACTTGGCAGGGGCATTAGGGAAGCCAAGGACATCCGAGGAGGAACTGGACTGTCTGGCATTGGGGCAGGAACTCGGGGGCAGCTTTCTCCCAGACAGAGGTGCTCACAGGGGTCATTGTTCCCATACTGAGACCTCCCCCACCACAGAGTGGACTGGCAGCCATATCTGAGTTTCCATCAGCCTGGCCCACACTGTTTGCTCTGCCCTGGTGATTCCCTGAGACTCCACCCCAGCCAACTTGCAGCCCTGCCCAAGCAGTTTGCAGATGCTTTTCCATATGAATAGCCTGTCCTGACTCAGAGCTCAGACTTTCCTAAAATCTCTTAAACAAGCAGCATCTAGCACAGCCGTGGGCAAACTACAGCGCACGGGCCAGATCCGGCCCGTTTGAAATGAATAAAACTAAAAAAAAAAAAAGACCGTACCCTTTTATGTAATGATGTTTACTTTGAATTTATATTAGTTCACACAAACACTCCATCCATGCTTTTGTTCTGGCCCTCCGGTCCAGTTTAAGAACCCATTGTGGCCCTTGAGTCAAAAAGTTTGCCCACCCCTGATCTAGCATCAGCATGCCCCATACGTATCAATAAGAGGCCCAAGGCCCAGCACTAGCACCAGCCTGCCTTGCTTCACAGCTTGGCCTCACCTGGGCACCTCCAAGCCCAATACAAGTATCAGCCATCTGCAGATCGCTTGGTAGCTCCTGCCAGGTGGTCCCAGGCAGTGGCTGACTTTGCACCTCTCTGGAAGCCCTAGAGCCAGTGCACCCGCTGGACAGCTTCAGACCATAACAGATTACAACTCTACACATCCACAAGCACCACACTCAAAGGGCAGACTCAGTGAACACCAAAGCCCCTCTAAAGCAAGTCTTGCTCCATAGAGGTGCACAGCAGCTCTTCCACTGTAGTCACAGCTGTTCCTCACAGCCAACTGGCCTGGAGGTCAACTCCTCCAGTGAGGCCAACAGCAATCAAAGCTCAACTACAAGACTGTGCACACAGCCCACACAGGGGCGTACCTCGAGTGCCCAGCTCAAGGGTCTGGGGAGGCTGAGCCACTGGGCCTAACAGGACACCTATTAGACAAGGCCAGGAGACATAGCGGCTCTACCTAATACAAAGAAACAAACATAGGGAAGCAGCCAAAATGAGGAGACAAACAAACATGTCACAGATGAAAAAACAGAAGAAATCGCCAGAAAGAGAAATAAATGAAATGGAAGCAAGCAAATTACTGGATACAGAGTTCAAAACAATGTTTCTAAGGTTGCTCAATAATCTTTTTTTTTCCACTTTTTTTAAATTTTATTTTATTATTGCTCAAGAATCTTAATGAGAGCTTCTAGGGACTCAAAAAGATCCTCAAGGGACTTAGGAGACATTCAAGGATCTCAGTGAGAAATTCAAAGACATGAAAAAGGACCAGTCAAAAATTAAGACTACACTAACTGAAATAAAGAATAATTTACAGGAATTCAACAATAGAGTAGAGGATTCTGAGAATCAAATCAACAATTTGCAATATGAGGAAGCAAAAAACACCTAATCAGAAGAGCAAAAAAGAATCCAAAAATATGAAGACAGTGTAAGGAGCCTCTCTAGAACAACCTCAGGCATACCAACATTCGCATTATGGGGGTGCCGGAAGGCCAAGAGAGAAAGGTACTGAAAAATTTGAAGAAATTATGAGAGAAAATTTTTCCTGCCTGGCGAAAGAAATGGACTTACAAGTCCAGGAAGCACAGAAGGTCCCAAATAAGAGGAACCCAAAGAGGCCCACACCAAGACACATCATAATCAAAATGCCAAGGATTAAGGACAAAGAGAGAATCTGAAAAGCAGCAAGAGAAAAGCAGTTAGTTACCTACAAGGGAACACCCATATGACTGTTATGTGCCCTGACCGGAAATTGAACTGTGACTTCCAGGTTCTTAGGCCAATGCTCAACCAGTGAGCCATGCTGGCTGGGCTCAAAATACTTTTTATAAGGATGTGCAACGAACTCAGTGAGAACTTTAACAGCTAAAAAAGGGGATAGAAAACATAAGGTAAGTTAAAAATGAAGAATCTAATAAGTGAAATGAATAATACATTAGATGAAATTGATAGATTAGATGGTATAGAGCAACGATGATGAACCTTTTGAACTCGGCGTGTCAGCATTTTGAAAAACCTTAACTTAACTCTGGTGCCGTGTCACATATAGAAATTTTTTGATATTTGCAACCATAGTAAAACAAAGATTTATATTTTTGATCTTTATTTTATATATTTAAATGCCATTTAACAAAGAAAAATCAACCAAAAAAATGAGTTCGCGTGTCACCTCTGACATGTGTGTCATAGGTTCGCCATCACTGGTATAGAGTATGGAATGAGAGATTTGGAAACAAGGTAACAGAAAATGCCCAATCAGAACAGCAAAAAGGAAAAAGAACCTTAAAAAATAAGGGTAGTTTAAGTGACCTCTGGGAAAACATCAAGCATAACAACATTGGAATCACAGGAGTGCCAGAAGGAGGAGGGAGATAACAAGGAACTGAAAACCTATTTGAAGAAATAATGACAGGCCCTAGTCCATTTGGCTCAGTGGATAGAGAGTCAGCCTGAGGACTGAAGGGTCCCAGGTTCAATTCTGGTCAAGGGCACATGCCCGGTTGCAGGCTGGATCCCCAGTAAAATGTGTGCAAGAGGCAGCCAATCAATGATTCTCATCATTGGTGTTTCTCTCTCTCCCACTCTGAAATCAATAAAAATATATTAAAAAAAAAAAAAAAAGAAACAATGACAGAATACTTCCCTAACCTGGTGAAGGAAATAGACATACAAGATAAACCGAAAGAGGTCCACACCAAGACACATCATAAGTATAATGCCAAAGGTTAAAGAAAAAGAGAATCTTAAAAGACAGTTACCTGCAAGGGAACTCCCATAAGACTGTTATTTGATTTCTCAACAGAAACTTTGCAGGACAGAAGGAATTGGCACAAAATACTTAAAGTGATGAAAAACAAGGACTTACAACCATATTTGCTGTCATTTACAATCGAAGCACAGATAAAGAACTTCCCATACGGGGTGGTGGGGGCTTGCCCGAGGTGCAGGGGGCGGGGGAGTCAACCAGGGAAAAAGGAGACATATGTAAAGCTTTAGACAATAAAAAAAAAAAAGAACTTCCCATACAAGAAAAAGGTAAAGGAGTTCATCACCAGCAAACTAGTAGTACAAGAAATGTTAAAGGGACACCTTTAGCAAGGAGAAAAAAAAGATTAAAAAATATGAAGAATAAAATGGTAATAACTACATACCTATCAATAAACCCTTTAATATACATGGATTAAATGCTGCAAGCAAAAGACATAGGGTGCCTGAATGGATAAAAAAAAACAAGACCCATACATATGCTGGGTCCAAGAGACCCTCTTCAAGATCGAAAGACACACACACTGAAAGAAAAGGAACTGAAATAGATATCACCTGCAAATAGAAACAGAAACAAAAAAAGCTGTGGTAGCAATACTTACATCATCAAAGTAGACTTTAAATCAAAGGCTATAACAAGACACAAAGAAAGACCCAACAGTTCCACTTCTGGGTATTTATCCAAAGAAACTCGGAACACAATTTCAAAAAGACATATACACTGTATATCACTATCTTCACTGCAGCATTACTTACAATAGCCAAGATATGGAAACAACCTAAGTGGCCATCGATAGACTAATGAACAAAGTAGAGATGGTACAGACACACAATGGAATAGTCATAAAAAAGAATGAAATCTTGCCTTGGCCAATGCAGCTCAGTGGTTAGAGTGCCAGCCTACACACCAGAGGGTCAATGGTTCGATTTCCGGTTAAGGCCACATACCTGGATTCCAGGTTCAAATCCCACCCTCAGTCAGGTTATGTGCAGGAGGCAAACAATCAATGTGTCTCTCTCACATGAATGTTTCTTTTTCTCTCTCTCTCCCCCTATGCCCTCCCTTCTACTCTCTCTAGAAATCAATGAAAAAATATCCATGCCCAGCCAGCGAGGCTCATTGGTTGAGGGTCGACCTATGAACCAGGAGGTCACAGTTCGATCACTGGTTAGGGCACATGCCCAGGTTTTGGGCTCGATCCCTAGTGAAGGCTGTGCAGGAGGCAGCTGATCAATAATTTTCTCTCATCATTAATGTTTCTATCACTCCCTCTCCCTTTCTCTCTGAAATCAATAAAAAAATATTTTAAAAATGAAAGCAATAAAACAATAAAAATAAATAAATAAATAAATCCTATCTAATAAAAGAGAAACATGGTAATTAGCCGTACCTCCGCTACCCTTCCCATTGGCTAATCAGGGCGATATGCAAATTAACTGCCAGCCAAGATGGCGGCCGGCAGCCAGGCAGCTTGAAGCAAACATGAGGCTTGCTTGCTTCAGTGACGGAGGAAGCCAACATTCCCCGCCTGCTGCTGCCGGCCTCTGAGCTTGCAGTTTGAAACACTGTTACAAATATAGAATCTAAACAAACTCCAGAAACCTGCTTTCATCCAGCCGGGATATCAGAGCTGGAGTTGAAACAGTGTTTCGATTATAGAACCCAAACAAACCAGATACCTGCTTTCAGCAGCCCAGGCCTCAGAGCTGGAGCCAAGCCTCAGAGCTAAAGCTGGCCCAGAATTAAAAAAAACAAAAAACAAAAAAAGGAGCGGTTGGGAGCTTCAGGCACCCACCAGCCTGAAAACAGCCCTCAGCCCCTCACCCAGACTGGCCAGGCACCCCAGTGGGGACCCCCACCCTTAAGGGTGTGTGACCAGCTGCAAACAGCCATCAGCCCCTCACCCAGGCTGGCCAGACACCCAAGCGGGACCCCCACGCTGATCCAGGACACCCTTCAGGGCAAACCAGCCAGCCCCCACCTGTGCACCAGGCCTCTATCCTATAAGAGTAAAAGGGTAATATGCCTCCCAGCACCGGGATCAGCATGACAGGGGGCAGCGCCCAAACCCCCTGATCACCCTGCGGCTCTGTGTGTGACAGGGGGCGGGGCCACAACCTCCCTATCCGCCCTGCTCTGTGCGTGACGGGGAAGGCGCCCCAACCCCCTGATCAGCCCTGCTCTGTGCCTGATAGGGGGGAGCTCCCCAATCCCCTGATTGCCCTGCGGCTCTGTGTGTGACAGGGTGCGGCGCCCCAACCCCCCCCACACACACACACACATGCCCTTGCTCTGTGTGTGACGGGGTAGAGCCATAACCTCCCCATCGGCCCTGCCCTGAGTGTGACAGTGGCGGCGCCCCAAACCCCTGATCGGCCCTGCTCTGTGGGTGATAGAGGGCGGCGCCCCAACTCCCCTATCGGCCCTACTCTGTGAGTGACAGGAGGGAGCTCCTCAACCCCCTGATCAGCCCTGCTCTGTGCATGACAGGGGGAGCTTCCCAACCCACTGATGGGCCCTGTTCTGTGCGTGGCAGGGTACGGAGCCCCAATCCCCCTGATGGGCCCTGCTCTGTGAGTGACAGGGGGCAGCGCCCCAACCCCGATTGGCCCTTCTCTGTGCGTGACAGGGGGTGGCGCCACAACCTCCCCATCGACCCTGCCTTGAGTGTGACAGGGGGCGGTGCCCCAACCCCCCAATCGGCCCTACCCTGAGCATGACTGAGGGTGGCATCGCAACCTCCCGATCCGCCCTGCTCTGTGCATGACAGGGGGCAGCGCCCCAACTCCCCAATCAGCCCTGCTCTGAGCCAGACCAGGGGCTGCACCTAGGGATTGGGCCTGCCCTCTGCCACCCGGGAGCAGGCCTAAGCCAGCAGGTCGTTATCTCCCGAGGGGTCCCAGACTGCGAGAGGGCACAGGCCAGGCTGGGGGACCCCCACTCCCCCCCCGCAGTGCACAAATTTTTGTGCACCGGGCCTCTAGTAAATAAATAAAAATGAAAGCAGGTTCTCCAACAGATATCTGCACACCCATTTTCCAGCAGCATTATTCACAACTAGAGGCCCAGTGCATGAGATTTGTGCACTCGGGGGGTCCCTCAGCCCGGCCTGTGCTCTCTCGCAGTCCAGGAGCCCATGGGGGATGTCCAACTGAGGCTTAGTGCTGTCAGTCGGACATCCTTAGCATTGCCGCGAAGGCGGGAGAGGCTCCCACCTCTGCCGCTGCGCTCATCAGCCGTGAGCCCAGCTTCTGGCTGAGCAGCGCTACCCTTATGGGAGCACACTGACCACCAGGGGACTGCTCCTGTGTTGAGTGTCTGCCCCCTGGTGGGCAGTGTGCGTCATAGCGACTGGTTGTTCCACCATTTGTTCTATTTGCATATTAACCTTTTATTATATAGGACTAGAGGCCCGGTGCACAAATTTGTGCACAGGTGGGGCCCCTCAGCCTGGCCAGCAATCGGGGCTGGCCACGGGGAGGCACCCCAAGAGGTTGGCCGGCTGCAGGAGGTTGGTTGTGGGAGCACACTGACCACCAGGGGGCAGCTCCTGCGTTGAGCGTCTTTCCCCTGGTGGTCAGTGCATGTCATAGCGACTGGTTGACAGGTCATTCCGTTTGTTCTGGTCATAACAGTCACTTAGGCTTTTATATATAGATAGATAGTGAAAGTGTAGTAGCAATCCCAGTGTCCACTGATGTATAAATAGGTTAAAAAATGTAGTATATATACTCATAAAATTGAGTATTAGCATTAAAAAGGAAATTCTGATACATATTACAACATGGATGAACCTTGAAGACATTATGCTAAGTGAAATAAGCCAGCCACAAAAGTTACATATCATGAGTGCATTTATATAACCTTGAAATAACAAAATTCAAGATGAAGATAGATCAGATGTGGTTACAGTAGGAAGGGGGAAGAAGGAGAGGTGAATGTGGCTATAAAAGGTTCGCAGGAAGGATCCTTGTGGTGATGGACTGGTTAGTATCTTGACTGTGGGGGTGCACACACAAAGCGACACATGATAAAACTGCCCAGAACTAAATCCAGATATAAAAGTATATGCACATAAAACTAGTGAAACCTGAATAAGGTCGGTAGATTTTTTTCAAAGTCAATTATGTTGGTTGTGCTATTATACTATATCACTAGCCAAAACTGGGTGAAGAACAAACATAATCTCTCTGTATTATTTTTCACAACTGCATGTGAATCCAAAATTGGTTTAAAAGTTCAAAAAATAAATGGGCAATTTATTTTAGACCTACAATTTTTGAATAAAGAATCAAGTGAAGTTAAGCAATACCTTCTTCCATGGATTTAGTGAAGTTGCACATAAGTGATGACAATCCCTTCAAACATCCTGCTACAACAGGTAGTTTGGGCTCTCTTACTGCTGATGTCATCTAAAAGGAAAGTTTTAAGAAGATACCATTAAAAAAGAAAAATACAACCAAATCTATGGAAGCAGAATATCATAAAGTTTACATACCTGGGTCTTAAGCTCACCCAGAAAAGCCCGGAACAGTTTTTCTGAATTATTTATCATCTCGCTAGGATGAACTTCCCCTAATACTCCTAAGAGCTCATATATTTTTTCTAAAACTGAAAAATAAATTTTAGGTAAATAAAGATCTAAAATAACATTTAAAAATACAGCTACTGTTAACAATGCATGTAATTACTTCCAGAATATAATATAAATATGTAAATTTAACTAAAATATAAACTTAAAAAGAGCTCAAAAAAATAAAATAACATTTAGATAAATAACAAAAATTTACAAATAAGAAAATGAGAGGATGTTTAGTTCAAAGCAAAACATACAAAAATCTAGTTTTATGTACTAGAATATTTCCTGATAAGTTTTATGCAAATCTAATATCATAAACAAATTACATTTGACATGTGTTGTGAGATTTATATTTAAATAAATCAATTTATAAAGATTAAAATTTTTATAAGCAGAAGTCTTTACACATTGTTTTTGTAGGTTTCCATTTTGGTTTATTTTCAGCAAAAAAGGATTCATCTATAAAACATGTAAGTACCTTGACAGAGACAAACCTAAGTTTTATACTAATAATTTTTAATGTTAACTTGTTAAAATATTTTAAAATAACATTTAAATGCATCTCACCTGTATCTGGTATTTTTGTTTTCAATGCAAGTTCTCCATAGAATTTGCTAAATAATTCCCCAACTCTAAATTCATCCATGAGTCTAGAACTTCTCAAAGTCTGAAGTAACTAAAGAAATACAAATAAGCATTGGCTCAAGAGGAAAATAATGAAAAGGCATCAACTACCTAAGTAAGTATGTATACAGCAAAGTTCCAGAATCCTGTGTCTCCAGGGGACTTATGTTTGGTCTCTCAGACTATTTGATAGGTAGGGGCTAAGGTGGTGATATAAGAACAGAGAGGAGTTACAAAGGGGAATAGGGTGTAAACTTAATTTTACTTTCCAAGAAACCAGGAACATGACTAAAACCATTCTCTTGGAGGCACTTAAGGACCAACAAGACCCGAAGGAATTCTAAAATAGAGATGCAAAAAGAGAGATCCATCAAAGAGAGACATACAAGTGAGAGAGAGTCCCAATGACTACTGAAATACAATATACAGACCCATTCTCATGGTAAGGTTCTAGGAAAAAACTCAGAGATACAATAAGATATATTTTGGCAATTCTTAGCAATTTTAAGAGAAAGGGTAATGAAAGTAGTGGAGGAGCAGTAAATGTCTTAGTTATTTTCCCCTTCATTCTCCTCAAAACGCAAATACTTCTTTTGCTACCCAGAAGAGACTGAGAACAAAATACCAAAGTATTGTTAGATGATGATTGGAAAACGTGCATTTTATCCACACAGAAATGTCATTAGAGCCTATCCTCCAATATCTCTAACCCAAAATTTCAATTTTCAGTTTTTTAAGGTATATGTTTAATATAGAATGCATGTATTTAGAAATATAAAATTACCTTAATAAGAAGTTCAAGGGCTGGAATCTTACATTTAGCAGCTTTATCTTTTGTATAAACACTGGTACAAGTATTCTAGGTTTTAAAAGAAGACATACCAAAAAGTCAGTAAGATCTAAAACTACATCTCTGAGAAGAGTAATACCAATATGTGCCATAACACAATTTATTATTTAGCTGTTAAAAATAACATCAGAGTATATAAATATACAGAATTAAAATTACTGAAAACACTGATGCAATATGCAATGGGGGTAATATTAATAACCAAAATAACAAAATCGATGGGGACCCACCAGGATAAAAAGAAAAAAGTTAAAGTTATTACTCTTTCTGTATTTCCCACAGCACTTGTTGCCATATATCAAGAAAGAAAGAATGGAAAACAAAAAAGGTAACTAAAGCAATTCGGAGAAGAATGGCTGGGACTCTACAGTGCAGTGCAATGAAAGCAGCAGGAGCTTTGGAAGGAGGCAACCTAGCGCCAAGACTGGGGTGAGTTTCTTAACTTGTAAACTAGAGAGATGAATATAACAAAGATTTGCTAAATATTAAGGGGCAAACTACACATTAAAGAACTTTGTAAACTATGAAGTACTCTATAAATGTCACTCCTACCCTTGAGACAATGTTTTTAAATATTAAGATTCCAATCGAGAAAGATTAGAAGTCAAAAGAGAATAAAATCAAAATCTGCTAAAAAAAAAAAAAAAAAAGACTGCTAAATCATTAAAACCATTTTCTATATTAGAGCTACTTATAATTTACTAGAGGCCCAATGCATGGGATTCGAGCACTGGGGGGGGGGGGGGGGGGGGACCCGGGGGGATCCGCCCCTTTTGGGGGGGGCCGGTCTTACCAGTCAGCCAAGCAGGGGTCCCACTGTGGGAGGGCCCTGACCACCAGGGGGCAGCTCCTGGGTTGAGCGTCTGCCCCCTGGGGGTCAGGGAGTGTCATAACAACTGGGCGACCTGTCATGCTGCTGGGCTTTTATTATATAGGAAAAAAAAACTTCCTATAAATTACCATAAACTAGATACATACTTCTTCATCAACACTGAGCATCCAAGAAGAAGAAGCAAATTTGGACAAATAAAAACAACTTACTTCAAGATGCGGCACTTGTTGAAAGCATAAATAAGTCTAATAAACAACAACTTAATTTATGATTACTAGTTCCTTAGTTAAGTTATGAGGAAACCTTAGGGAAAGCATGTTGAAAGAGAATGGGGGGCATAAAACAGGCAAATTTTTCAGACTGTTGTCAAAGAGAAGATGAACTATAAGAAATATGAATCGCCCTAACCGTTTTGGCTCAGTGGATAGAGCGTCGGCCCGCGGACTGAAAGGTCCCAGGTTCGATTCCGGTCAGGGGCGTGTACCTTGGTTTGTGGGCACATCCCCCAGTAGGGGATGTGCAGGAGGCAGCTGATCGATGTTTCTCTCTCATCGATGTTTCTAACTCTCTATCTCTCTCCCTACCTCTCTGTAAAAAATCAATAAAATATATTAAAAAAAAAAAATTTAAAGTGTTCTGAAATCTCCCCACAATTCAAAAATATAACTTATTTTGACTTTTTATAAAAGCATTACTGATCCTATGTAAAAAAAAGTTATCAAATAGTTTTTGACAATGGCCTTAGCTTATTAAATCTAAAAAAAAAGAATAGTCCACTTTATTTCTAACATAATCAAGCAGAAATAAAAAGACAGAAATTAAATAAAAACCCAAGTTGAACTCACACCATAAATTAAAATGAATATTGATAAAACTATGTTTTCTCCTCCTTACCTTAATATCAAGAGAATAAGGTGTGATCTTCTGGCCAATTTTTTCTAAGAAAATACATAAAAATTTTAGGATTTCTTCTCGACAATCACGAAACTATAAAAAAAGAAATACACACTGTAGTAATATGAGTAAGATTAAGAGTCACTTCAACATAAAGGAATATGCAAGAAAAAAAATGAAAATGTTCAACTTACTTCATCAATGCTAAGTGATTTCCGAACAAACACAAGCAAACCGAAATCTTTGGAAAAGACTAAGGAAGTCTGTAATGCTGGACAAAAAAAAAAAAAAGAGGTAAGAGAGCTACCGAGGAGCACTCCATCAACCCACCCTAAAGGGATTGCATGGTTCTGAATCCACCTTTTTAAGTAATAATATGCTGACCTAAGGCTGATGCACGTAGGCAAGGAAAACAAAATTCTAGATGTTCCACCAGGATGGGTGGATATGTCACACCTGTAATTTTACTAACTTTACAGGGGGAAAGGAAATTAAGGTTGTAAATGGATTTAAGGGTGTTAATCAGCTGACCTTAAAATGGGCAGACAATCCTGGATTACCTGGTGGACCCAATGTAATCACATGAGAGAGCCTTCAGCCCTGGAGGGAGGAAGAGTAGACACGGGAAGACAGAAGAGCAGGAGAGATTCCTAGCATGAGAGTTACTTGACCCCCTATTACTGGCTGTAAAGGTGGAGGCAGGGGGCCAGAGACAGAAGAGATGTGGGTGGCTTCTACAAGCAAGGAATGTCAACAAGAAAAAAGGGACCTCGGGACTACAATGGCAAGGACCTGAATTCTGCTTAAAAACCTGAATGAGCCCTGGCTGGTTTGGCTCAGTGGATTGAACGGTGGCCTGCGGACAGAGGGTCCCAGGTTCGATTCCAGTCAAGGGCACATGCCGGGGTGGGTTTCGGGCTCAATCCCCAGTGGGGGGCGTGCAGGAAGCAGCCGATCAATGATTCTCTCTCATCATTGATATTTCTATCTCTCCCTCCCTCTCCCTTCCTCTCTGAAATCAATAAAAAATATATTAAGAAAAAAAACGTGAATGAAAAATAAAACGAATTCTCCCCAAAAGCCTTCAAAATGTAAAGTGGCTCTGCCTGGTACCTTTGCTTTAGCTTGGCGAGACCCGTGTTGGCTTCTGATTACAGAACTGTAATACTAACAAACCTGCGTTGCTTTAAGCAGCGATAGAAAACGAATGCACTGCTCTATAATCTCTCAAGTGAAAGGACATGCATTGAATATTCGGAGTAAACTTGGAAGATTTTTTACATAATTCTGATAGTTATTAAATTTTTCCCCATTAATTTATCCTTGACAATATACAGATACTATTGTAGCATCTTGTTTACGGTATTGTTTATTTCTCCACTACATTTATTTTTTTAATATATTTTATTGATTTTTTACAGAGAGGAAGGGAGAAGAATAGAGAGTTAGAAACATTGATGAGAGAGAAACATGGATCAGCTGCCTCCTGCACATCTCCTACTGGGGATGTGCCCACAACCAAGGCACATGCCCTTGACCAGAATCGAACCCGGGACCCTTCAGTCCGCAGGCCGATGCTCTATCCACTGAGCCAAACTGGTTAAGGCTATTTCTCCACTACATTTAGCAACGACCTCTTAGGAAGAAAATCTCACCTATCTTTTAATTAAGAAGACACACCAAAGAGAAGTTCTGCTTTTTTTTTTTTTAAGGGATATCATAGACGTTTCCAAGCAGTGATGTATTTTTTAAGTGCTTTAAAAAAGCAATTTTACTACAAAAAAATACGTTCTCGTCCAGGCATTGCTAAAAAGTTAAAAGAACAGCATGACTTTTCAGTTATACTTCTGTAATGTTCCTCAAAAAGTAGGAACAACAAATGTAAAAGTTTGGAAACTGGTGAGTGTAGGCCAAATTACGGTGAAAGAAAACACTTGACTCTCGTTCTTTCTCCCCACTTTGATAGCAATGGTTGGCAAATTTAGGGCATTTTCACCAACTTTCTTTTTAAAATGCTTCTCTGGTGTTAAAAGCATTTGCCTAATGGCCTTTTATACCTAGCTACCGAATGTATGAGGACCCACAGCCAAACATCTGGACTTCAAAACACCACGGGAGAGACGCGGGACTGGGAACCTGCAGCCCCGCGGAACCCCGGCATCACCCCCGCCCCGGCACCGGGCGCCCCACGGTACCCACCCAGCACGGCGGGCCCGGCGCTCAGCACGCACTCCTGCCCCAGGCCCCGAATCAGCTGGTGACTGGCCAACGCGGCGCCGCAACGGTCAGCAGCGGACAAGGACTCCTGCAGCTGCAGCAGGGAGCCCTGCACGCCACCTGCAGGGTCGGCCATGACGCCAGCCTCGACCCGCCAAGAGCGCTCCCCCAGCCCCGCCGGAAATGTAGCGGCGCAGGGAGGCGGGCTCCGGGGCGGGGGCGGAGGCGGGGCTAGAGAAGCGGAGTTCCTAGAGCGGGCGGGGGGCGGGGCTCGCGGAGCGGGGGACCGAGTTCCCAGAGCGGGGGCGGAATTCCCAGGCGGGGGCGGGGCGGGCGCGGGGCTCGCGGGCGGGGGCGGGGGCGGGCCTGGCGGGCTGGTGGCGGGCTGGAGCCCTTCCCTGTAGGAATGGCCCGCTTAGCAGTGAACTGCCTTAGAGTTCTAACAGGCGGAGGAGTGTGTGGCACACGGCACACTCAGCGCGCGTTCACTGAAGCTTAGGGAGAAACAGGAATCCCACGCCGCGCCCAAAGCTGGGGTCTTTGGCCGGGATCTACAGCTTATCCCCTGATAAAGAGTGCAAATGCATTTGGAGCGTCTTTAGAAATGACATGCTTAAGAGATAAACAAGTACATTTTCCTTGGTCAACGACCGGGTGCAGACCAGCCCCAGCGTGAACAAGGTCTGGGGGGAAGTCCCGGATTTCCCGCGAAACTGCCGCCCGGACTGGGTCAGACCATCTGAAAGGAGGGGGGGCACCGCGCGAGGCCTGCGCCCGCCTTCTGCGAGGCGTCGCGGACAGAGCTCCGTCCCCCCTGTCGGTGCGCAGTGGCGCCTCTCGGAGGCGGAGCCACGCGGAAGCGCCGCTGTGATTGGTGAGGCGCCGCGGGAGGCGGGGACGACGGTGACGACTGCGCGGCTGGCGGGAAACCTGGTGCCAGGCTCGTCAGCTGTGGGAGCGCGGCCTCGGAGCGTAGCCCACCGAGCGCGGCCCACCGAGTGCGGCCCGGGACCCTCGTGCGTCGGAGCAGCGGGCTCTTCCCGGTAACCCCGTGACGCGGGCAGCGCGCTGCGAGAGGGTCTGTGTGGCGGCAGAGCAGCCAGAAGCGGGCGCGGCGTGACCCCGAGTGTGTCGCGGAGGTCCTCTGCGCGCCATGTCGTCCCCGGCGTCGACCCCCAGTCGCCGCGGCAGCCGCCGCAGGGCCACCCCCACGCAGACGCGTAAGTCTCCCCCGCGAGTGGGGTCGGCCGCGCGCCCCCCGCCCGCCTCTCCCTGCTCCGCCCTCCGGCCCTTTCCCGCCACCTCTGAGGGCCTTGGCCGTGGGCCCGGGGCGCTGTTTGCTCAGGGCCTGGCTCCAGGGGGCAGACTCTCGCGAGGAGGACCACGCTGGACGCCCGTTTTCCTCCCTTTCGGGAGTTTTTCTCATACAGGCCGGTTGCACATGCCGTTCTCACTTCCTTCTGCTGGGCCCGTGCTGGTTCCGTAAGGAACTAGGCTTCCCGGGAGCAGCGCACGCCCAGGAAGACCGGCCGCGAGAACTGACGGCCACCCTTTCTGTCTTGTATGTCACCAGCCCGGAGCGAGGATGCCAGGTCGCCCCCGTCGCAGAGACGCAGGGGCGAGGACTCGACCTCCACCGGGGAGCTGCAGCCCCTGCCCACGTCGCCCGGAGCCGACCTGCAGAGCCCGGACCGCCCCGGACGCGCTGTTCCTCCAGCCCGCCGCCCATGCGGCTGCAGGTGGGTGCCTGGCCCGCAGCATCCCGAGGCTAACGCACCGGTGACGCTT